CAAACCACAGTGGGAATCCAGGTTCACTGTCCAGGTTCCAGCTAGTTATCATGTTCCTTGTGCCATTAGTAGATGCTACTAGGGAACTATTATTTGGGGGTCAAACAAAAGGTGGCCATTTTTCTAGGAAGCTGAGGAAGACTTCATCAAAGATACGATATTTAAAACGAAGTCTTATAGAATATGTGGGACTCTGCCATGCAGAGAAGATAGAGGAAGCTTTGGGTATGGAGACACAAAAGTAAAAATACCAAAAACAAATCCCACCCAGGATATTTTGGATTATTAAGCAGAATGGCTGGAGCATACGGTGGGGAGACAATGATGAAACAGGATGAACGCGCGTTGTGAAGGGAATTAATTATAAGCCCTGCTGAGGAGGGTGGACCTCATCATGCAGGTAATGGGGAGTAATGCTTTGGAAATTATCTGATTCGCATTTTGGAAAGAATATTTCTGATGATCTATGAAGTATTAATTGGCATGGCAATAAAAGTAAGGAGAACATTTTAAGATAATGGAAGTTAGCACACAGAAGAGGGGATTTTTGGAGGGAGATTTTTGAGGTCTAATTGGGAGAACTCAGTGACTTATGGAATGTGAAAGGAAGGTGAGAGCTGAAGATAAGCTTGGAATATTGACTACATGGTGATGCCATAAACTGAGACAGGAACACCAGGAGTAAAGCTGGGGTTCAGAGGACTTGGAGTTATCATTGGAACTATGCTGGCTCATTTATGGGTTCAGAAATGTAAGGAGAGGTTAAGATTTCTACCCTGTCCCCAAAACCCCATCTCCTCCCCTTAAGAGTAAGGGATGTTTCTTTGCTTAATCACACTCAGGTCACCAAAGTAGCTATGTTTACCTCTAGACAGGGGCATGTGGATTAAAATGCCAAGCTCATAAGGGATCTCTAGTCTCTGGAGAGTTCTCTCTTTCTCTCTCTCTCTCAGGCTGCAGAAGGGTCAGCTCATTCATTCATTCTCCTTCCCTCCCACCCCAGCCCCCTCCAAGATACGTTTAAAAATAATTAACAGCTTTATTGAGGAGTAATTGACATACAATAAACAGTCTATTTAAAGTAGACAATTTGACAAGTTTTGAAATATGTGTATACCCATTTATTTTCTGCTTTCTATTTCATTAGTTTTCTCCTCTGGTCATATTATTTTCTTTCTTGTACTTATTTTGGGTTTAATTTGCTCTTCCTTTCTAGTTTCTTAAGATGGATGCTAAAGTCATTGACCTGAGACCTTTCTTCTTTTCTGTAGTCATTAAGTGCTACAAATTTTCCCCTAGGTACTCCTTTGGTGGCATCCCACAAATTTTGATACACTGTGTATTTATTTTCATTCAGTTCAAAGCACTTTTTAATTAACTTTTTGATTTATTTTTTGACCTGTGGCTCTAGAAGTGTTTTATAGAATTTGGAAATATTTGAGAATTTTCCAAATATATTTTTGCTATTGGTTTATAATTTAATTTCGCTGTGATAAGAGAGCATATTTTGTATGATTTGAATTCTTTTAAATTTACTGGCACTTATTTTATGGCCCAGAATATGTACTTTACCCAAGGCTCTGTGAATCTTGAGGTTTTCCAGTCTGGCTAGTGTGACAGGCATTCCTCCTGGCCCAGTGTTAGCACCTGGCACTGCTAATCCTTTCAGTTGGTTCGGTTCCCAGATTTCAGTATGTTGCTCACGCAGTCACTCATCAGTACTTAGCTGAATACTCAAGAGAAACCCTCTGCAGACCTCCCTCTCGCAGTTCACTCTGTGAACTTCTCTCCTATCCAGAACTCTGTCCTTATCCTCAGAATTCTAGCTGCCTTAGTCTTCTTGGACTCTCAGCTCTTTGCCTCATCCCAGGGAGTCTGCCGAGTTCTGCCTTGGCTCCCTGTCTCTGCACTGTGGCCTGGAAATGCCGTCAAAGCAGTGGACTGGGGCAATTGTGGGGCTCACTTTATTTTCTCTCCTGCCTATGAGGACTCACTGTTGTACCTTGACCTATTTACAATGTTTTATGAAATATTATTTCCTATATTTTGTCTGTCTTTTCAAAAATGAGGACAAATCTGGTTCCTACTACTCCATCTTGGTTAGAAGCAAAACGGTCCACCTCTCTCTTTCTTTCCTCTTCTAATAAGCTGCAACAGTAGACATGTCAGAGCCTTTTCCTACATGGGAAGAGACCCAGCCATCTGCTACAGCCTCTCTCTTCTCTCACGTGTTGACCAGGCCAGAGGCTATAGCCTCCCACATCCAGCCAAGGCAGGCCGGGTGATACCTGGAGACTCATATAGCATATTCTTGAGCACCCCAAATCACCATGACTGCTTATTTTCAAGTTGACTTTGGCTTGGTCCATTTGTGAGCAAACTTAAAGGGGGTTTCAGCAATATTGGTAATAATCTATTTCCTCAGCTGCATGTCAGATACACAGGTTTTTATATAATTATTTTACTTTAAAACCTACTTATACGTTACATACATTCCTTTGTATATAGCAAATACTTCACAATATACATTAAAAAAGAGAAAAATACACATTAAAACTAAAGTGACATTCCATTTTCAACCATCAGATGAGCAAAAAGATCAAATAACTGGTAACACTGAATGATAGTGATAAAGAAAAAGCAGACACACTCCTAAGTTGGGGGGATGGTAATTGGCACAATCTTTAAGGAAGGCCCTTTGACATACCTGTTAAAAGTATATTCTCTTTGTTCTTACAATTTTGCTTTCTGAATGTATTCTATAAATAAACCTATACAAAGACTAATGTGTATGAGGGTATTCAATAAAGCTCCTCGGCCATAATAACAGAAGACTGGAAACATTTAAAGGCCCAGCAAGGATGCATTGATTAAATAAAATGAACAGCTGTAAAGCTGTTAAGTCTGAGGTAGCACATTATCTACTAACGCAGAATGAATTCCATAATACTAAGGGGAGAAGTAAGGAAGAGAGAGAAGGGAAGGAAGGAAGAAAGGAAGGGAGGGCATTAAAAAGGGAAAATTCCAAAGGGAAATGAATGATGCTCTGAAAAAGAAGCATATGGATGAGTATAGCTGAATTGAAGACCGTGTATAAGGACCTGGGGAGAGAGAAATGAGAAATGTAAGCAGCAGTGAGGCCCTCAATCCTATGCTAAAAGGTTTGCTCTGCATCTTGAAGATGGAAAGCCTGCAGAGCACTTTAAGGAGGAGAATGATTGAGTCCAAGTCACTGTAACTCAGCAGCACTGGGTAGATATGGATCAGAGGTGAAGGATAAGATGGCAGTGAGAAAGCCGGTTTAGAAGCAATGACAGACTCAGGGTGGAGAGAAATAAGAAGAAATTAAACAGACTAGATGCCCTGAGCAATTGGATATGAAGAGTCAGGGAGAGCAAAGAGTCTGGGATGTTTCTCAGAGGCCAGACAAGGTCACCAGCTGAGTTGTTGCACCACTGACAGAGAAATGGAATTCACAGGGACTGCTGGTTTGTGGTGAAGGCAGAGGGTGGCACAAAGCAAATTGAATAGGCTTGATTTTTAACTTGCATTGGAAAAGCTCAAGTAACACTCTAAAATTTGAATTGGCACAATTTTAATCAATTTTACTGTATTTGTCAATATTTTTCTAATAGCAAAGTATGGAATACACCACAAAGAAAGTTTACACAGATTCTAATATTTATTTCTAGAGATGAGGCAATTACATAAAGGCAAGAGTTCCTGGGTTTTTGTTTTTGACTTTTATCCCATCGGGGGCATGTTCTGTTTTGTTTGAAAGAGATGAAAGCAAGTCT